GGCTCAAGCGATCCTCCCGCCTCAGCCTCCTGAAGTGCTGAGATTACAGGCGTGAGCCATCACGCCGGGCCAACACTTATAATTTAAATACATGGAAAGGCATGGACTAAACTTGAATCAAGTGGGGCCTGATTTGACTGCTATTATATTTCATGGTGTGAGGAGACAACAGCTTCTCCAGGTGTAATGAGGATTCATTCAGCTCCACAGCTTCTCACACAGTGCAAGGGGAGTTCAGACCTGCAACCTTCTCACCCAAGGCCCTGGGCTGGGAGTACCGAAGTCAAGTCTGGCTGTCCAGGCAGAAGAGGCATCAGATACTCCCTGTTTCTCTTCCTCTAGGGTGGGTTTAGGTACTAGACTCTTCTGTCTACCCTCAACTCAATATGGTTTATCTCAGGTGTTTCTCGTTTTTCCCTATGCTTTTCTTAAGAAAGACATAATCGCTCAAGCCTGTAATCCCAGCACTTTGGGAGGCCGAGGCGGGTGGATCACGAGGTCAACAGATCGAGACCATCCTGGTCAACATGGTGAAACCCCGTCTCTACTAAAAATACAAAAAATTAGCTGGGCATGGTGGCGCGTGCCTGTAATCCCAGCTACTCAGGAGGCTGAGGCAGGAGAATTGCCTGAACCCAGCAGGCGGAGGTTGCGGTGAGCCGAGATCGCGCCATTGCACTCCAGCCTGGGTAACAAGAGCGAAACTCCATCTCAAAAAAAAAAAAAAAGACATAATCTGTTAAGAGATCACTAAAACATGTTTCTGAGTAAATCACATAATAAATATAATCAGTACCACCACAGCCATTTATTAAGTGCTTGCCCGGCACTGTGCTAAAGCTTTACACACATTGTTTCAGTTAATCTAACAATGCCGAGGTAGATATTTTCAACATGTCCCCCTCCACCCATGTCATTACAGTTGAGGAAACTGAGCTCAGAGAGGTTAAGTAAATCAACCAAGGTCAAACCCAGCTGGTAAGTAATGAAGCTAGAAATTTGAACCAACTATATCTGACTCCAAAATCCACACCTTTAAACTCTATGCTAGATTGCTTACCATTGAAAGTTAAAGGACACATGCTCCTTCCCAAAATACCAGAGAACAGATTTTAAGAGGGAAAGTGGGAGTGGGGGGAATATATGTAATCAGCTAAGGGACTCAAACTCTTGGAGGAGTCAAGAGATAGTCTGGGTATAAGCTGACTACTGGGTCCTCTCATCTCTTCAGCTGCCAGAGCCTTTCTCATTAAGAACTCCACTCCTGGCTGGGCACAGTGGCTCACACCTGGTATCCCAGAACTTTAGGAGGCCAAGGCAGGTGGATCACCTGAGGTCAGGAGTTTGACACCAGCCTGACCAACATGGAGAAACCCCATCTCTAATAAAATACAAAAATTAGCTGGGTGTGGTGGCGCATGCCTGTAATTCCAGCTACTTGGGAGGCTGCGGCAGGATAATCGCTTGAATCTGGGAGGCAGAGGTTGCAGTGAGCCAAGATAGTGCCACTGCACTCCAGCCTGGGCAATAAGAGAGAAACTCCATCTAAAAAAACAAAACAAGAAAAACCCCACCACTCCACTCCTGACATCTGAATATGCAATACACTGTTTCCCTTTCAGCAAGCACTGGGATGCAGAGGTCAGGCAAATTTGGTGACACAGAACCAAAGACACCTCAGAGAAATTAGGAGACACTCAAAAAAGTTCATCACCCCTGAACTGCTGGTCCCTAAGGCACACAGATGCATTTAGATGGAAACCCTCCATGAAGGGGACACATTACATATATCATGTGTGATGCCCATCACCACTCTGCAAAGGGTATACTGGTATCTCCTTTTGATAGTTCAGTTCTTCCGAACGGGCTTCCCAGGCCTGGCCCCATTCTCAGTAAGTCTCCTCAACAACTTCTGCACCTCTCCCCTCAACTGGTCCTCTACTACTCCCTAGGTGCCCTCCCCAACCCATCTCCAGAGGCTTCACTGACCACAGGCCCCCAGGCCTCACCACTGCCTATTTCTGAGGTTTTGCCCCAAGAAATGCCCTCAAAGTGCTCAGCAAGGCTCCATTCATCCATGACCTATGAGGATTAAACCAAGATGGCTAAAGACAAGCAGAAAGGGCTACCAGAGTGAGACAAGCTAAACCAGGATGTACAGAGCTGACAACAGAAGGTCAAGAAGACACAGCAGACACAGATAAGAGGACTAGCCATGGGCAAAATAAACAGAGCTGTCAAAAATCAAAAAAGGGAGATGGCCCTAAGATGAACAGGGATGACCCCAGAGAGAGGGATCCTAAAGACAAGTCTATTCAAACACTTGAATAGTTTCTGAAGGAAGGACAACTGTTTAGGAAAAAGTCTCGGTGAGGAGGCTGCTGGAGAGATGAGGCAGGGAAGAGGTGAATATGGGAAACTGCAGGCAGCTCTGGAGAGAGACACTGGAACTTCCCTTCAGAGCTGGCAGTTTGAGAAGACATCAGTGAAGTGTGCAGGGAGTGGAGGACAAGCAGCTGGAGGTCTCAAGGGGGAGTAAGATACCAGCTGAAAGGCCAGGCTTCTGGAGCCCTGGAGCTACTTCTAGGCACACCTTATCATCTACCCTATCTGGGTGAAACTGGTCCCTGAGGGTCAGTCCCTATAGCCCTTGCCAAATGCTGTACCAGATTTTGAAGGGTGGAAGACTCAAGGGTAGGGAATCTAAGAAATGAGACACAGCTCCATTTTTGGCAAGTTCCCATTCCGAAAGAGAGAGAGAACCACCAACCCCCATTCCTTCATCCTTGAGGGATTCTCTCATCTAAGGAACTCACTGCATTCAAGTCACAAAACTGAGGAACAAATAGCAGTTAGTATACTGTCCTTGAAGTTTGAAAGGACAGCGGAAGGTGAAAGGTGACACAAAGACATGGGAGGAGCCAAGGTGGGTTCCTCTGCACCTGAAGACTCATCCTATTACTGAATCTCAGCACTGTTCACACATCTGGGCCAGAGCCTGAGCCCTCCGCACAGCCACAGCTGCACTGATGTGGGCTTGTGGGGACATCAATGTCACTAAGAAGCCTAGAATAGAGGCCCTCTCAGGGGAGCCCAGGGGCTCTGAGGAGCCTGGAGGCAGAGCTTTGCTCTCTACTGGTTTCCTCCTCTCTCAACAGTCCCTAATCTTGTCCACACAGGGTGCACAATATACACGTGTGGCCTTGTACCTTCTGGTTACTTCATGTAATTTCTCCAACTAAGCAGAGGCTCCTGGGATTTGATAAGGATCAGATTTTTCTCATGCCCTGCAGTACGGGAATGTAACAAATACTTGTCACAGGTGGGCTATCAGGGTGCTATTACAGAAGCATTTTCCACAAATGGCAAATGCATGTCGAAACTTTTTCTTTGTTATTCTTTGCCTTATAGCTTGTACTTGATACCCAACTACTTCTATCTTCGCTGGCTCATGCCCAAAGATGTCTCTTCCTATATCCATCTCAGGCTGGGAACTGGGTCCCTAGTCTTTGTTAAGAAATACAAACTCTGTCCACTTGTGGCAATACTGAAAGAAGATGTAGCCGACTAGTCTCTAGGGGCAGAGGGAGGGAGTGTCTCCCCACACTGGGCTGGCCCACTGATAAGGATCCTTCCCCTCTCTGTCTCCTAACAGATTCAGATTAATGATCGCTCATTCCTAATTGTCAAATTTCTTTTCCTTCATCCTGTGTCTAATCACCAGTGACAGAAACCATTACGCAAATGAGAGCAGACGACTTCCCCCAACTGTTCACGTTGGTAAAAACCTTGTAATTTAGAGCTCTGATTTGTAGGGGAAGCTGGTCTCCCCCAGGCATCCTGGGCATCTGCTCAACTGATGCCCAGAACAGCCCCTCCTCCATCCGCAGAACTCCAACCCCCCAACAAATATTTGACTTTACAAAACATGAGTTTTCTCTGTACCTGCTGGTGTGAATAGCAGGCTGCAACGTCGCTGACCTCTATACAGGTCCAAACCCCCACCTTCCTTTGCTGTATTTGTGTACCCCACACTGCCAGCTAGGATGGGGGTGAACAACTACAGCAATGTTTCCTATGTGGCAAGCAGAATTTGAGCCTAAACATCCCTTAACAAGGTAATTGAAGGGGAAAACCTCATCCTTGGGGGAAGCAGAGGCAGCTGAATATGAACCAAGACTCACAGTGCCTTCTAGAACTACAGCTTCAGTTCTATAGATGCAAAAGCGTGCTGGGAGGAGTTATGGGTCCTATTCAAGGACACACAAGTAATGCAATTAGAGATAGAACTCAGTTCCCCCATAGCTAGTTCTAGCACTAATTCATAATATGGATTCCCAGGCAGTTTTTCCAAGATGTTGTTAGTGAGAGCCTAGGAGAGCTTTTGCCCTTAGCCGCATATTCTGCACCATCTTGGGCTGGGTCTGCCTTCAGATACTGCCCAGTGTGGTGGTATCTGAGGACAGAACCTGTGGTACAAGGAGGGAGGTGAGGAAGGAAAATCAACATAATTTGGTGGAAAGGAAGGAGCAGGAAACAGTGCTAAGTTACAACTGATTGTAACTCATCACCTAATCTCTCTGAGCCCATTTCTTCCTCTGTGAGAATACCCACCTGCAGGATAGTGAGAAACAAAGATAAAAGCACTAGGCACATATTAGGTGTCTAAAAATCAGGGTCACTCTTATATTACCCAAAGATCAAGACCAATCCTGTGAAGGTTCCAAGATTAGCCTTTTCCTTCCCTCCCCTTCAGCCACCTCAGGGGAGACCTGTGTCAGGACAGAACCCAGCAAGGACCAGCTGAGTACACACCTCCTTTACGCATCACCCACATCTTTGAGGGCTGAGCCAGGAATACAGCAGACCTCCTGAGGAGAACGAAGATAATCAACTATCTTTCCCAGTGTGACTGTGGCCAAGTTTATCCTCCGTCTGCCTTGTTTTCTTTGCTGCACTCCTCTTTCCCAAAAGAAGTAGAGGGATAGAGATCACTACAATCACATTTCCCAGCATTGACTATATTTGAAAGAGCTACACTTGAGAAGGTACCATGTCTTCACAACCACACTGCATCAGAGAACCCCAGAATGAGGTACTAAAAATAAACACCCCTCCTCAAAAAACAAACTCAGGCATGCAAACACATACAAACACATCCTCTCAGTCCATCAGTGCACTATAAATTGAGCTTCGGGGTGAGAGCCAGAGCTCAGATGCTGGAAGTAAACCTTTGGCAAAAGAAAATAAAACCGGAGACCTTCCAGCTCTTCTTCCCTTCCAGAGAGAAGCGGATGAAGATAGGAAGAGAGGTGAGGAGACACAGGGCCACTACAATGCCCAATCCCAGGGGCCCCACTCCTACTGAACAGATGTAAATGGTGGCCCTTCAAGTTGTGCAATCACAGCTGCCCACCTGTAAGCTGCGGCCCTGAGAGGGTGCCCATGAGAAGCTCCTGACAGAAAAGGAAATTCGACTTCCATGCTCTACCAGTTGCCCTGACTATTGAGGGTGTTGTGGCACATTAAATGGGGTCTGGCAGAGGCGCTGGCTTTAGGAGGCAAGGTATGTGTTTGCCCGTGCCCTGAGGTGGATCACAGGTAGTGAGTGAGCTGCCTGGGCTTGACCCATTTCACTATTCAGCCAGGAAGCTCAGCAGGAGTAAAGGATATGGCCTGGGCAGGGAGCATCGTAGGGCCTGGAGGCTCTAGCCAGTCAGTCTCGAACAGGCTGCAGTGAGACCTGGCCAACATATGATGGCTAAAATCCAAGTGTAAAAGCTTAGAATACGTCAGGCAGTACTTCCTGGGGGCTCACACTGTACTATCCCACTGGAAAAGGTAAACAGTGGAGAACCTTGGTAAGTAGGGAGGCTGGCCAGTGTGGATACACACACATATGTGCACATGTGCACACAAACACACACACAGGCTTGTACCTCTAGGCAGGCCAGTGTGGATACATACACATATGAACACACACACACACACACACACACACACACAGGCCTGCACCCCCTAGAACCTAGACAGACACACACACGCGCGCACACACACACACACACACACACACAGGCCTGCACCCCCTAGAAGCTAGACAGAGACACACACGCGCACGCCCACACACACACAGGCCTGCACCCCCTAGAAGCTAGACAGAGACACACACGCGCATGCCCACACACACACAGGCCTGCACCCCCTAGAATCTAGAGAAGCCACAGCTAGGAGAACTCCCTTGGTACCCACCACAGGGGCAAGAGCTGGTGCTGAAAGAGAAATTGTATGTGTCTGTAATTTGTAACTTATGCACAATCATTGGTTCTTATGTCCCAAGGTCCTTTTATGTATGGCTTGAGCTTGTAGGTCCCAGTTGGAACCCTATCTAATCCTCTCTCACACAGGAAGGCTATCTAGGCTCTCAAAGGCAAGCCTCCCCTCTCATTCACCCCATTAGAGGCCCAGTAGCCATTCCCATACTGACTAGAGCTTGACTATGCAAAAACTGTCAGGAGGCAGACTGCCCCTAATGGTCAGACTAGCTCTGGCCCTGCAGCCCAGATGCAGTGGGGGTCCAAGAGAATCTCCTCTCTCTCTCAGGCTGAGGCACTGAGGTTGCAGGAGATAGGGCTGAGAGCCAGAAGTGACATCCTGACCCAGAAGGGAGGAACAGGGAACAGATACATGCATGCGTGTGCATGCACACACACGCACACACATTCCGAGGTTGACAGACTAACATACACACAGACATGATGACAACCAAAAGCTGGGACTCCACACACTGAATGCAGGACTTCAGGCGGGGGGCAGAGAGAGAAGGTGCTGGGGCACAAGAGGCAAGGGTATGAAGTCCCTCCAAATAGGAGTGGAGTGCCAACTGCCCTGCCTTGCCCCAAACACCTGCCTCCTGGGCCATGGCAAGAGTCCAGTCCATTAAGTGCAGCGTGCAATACTAGCGCTTGGAGTCTCCTGTCCTCATCAATGAAGCGGTGTGGACGGGATAGCAGTCACCTGGCAGGAGGCCTTGACTCCTGGCAGGCTAGTTGTATCGGCCCTTGATCATTGTGTTCAACAAGGGCCCCACCTGTAAAGAGACATGAGGAGCCCATCAGAACTGCCTGTTCCCTGGCCCTGGAGTTGGACAGGGTGTGTCTGGAGACATCAGATGTCCAGCCAACGACAGGGACAATGTTCTCATACAACCCTGTGAACCCTCTAATCACCTATCTTCCTGAAGGTCAACCCAGTATTCTGGGACACAGCTCTTTCCTCATGGGTCCATCTTGTACTATTCCTCCCTCTCACAACACCCTGTCTCTCACTGTAGTCAGCCCCAAACTGACAGACATGGTAGAGGAGCTAAAAATCCCCAAACACCCAAGAGTGTCTGCATGTTTTTCCAGAATGTTAACTGCTTCCATATCCTCAATCAACGATCACCAGCAATTGGGGCTGATGCTGTCTCCTAACACCACAGGTATCTGTGGGTGCTGAGGTTACCCACGGGAAGGAGGTAAGAGCCCTACAAATACCTCCCCCCTGTACCCAATGGGCCACTGGCACACCTGCGTGGGAAGCAGGTCTCATCACTACCTACAGCAGCCTGGCACAGCTGAGAGAGTGCAAGGAGATGCTTTAGTGCTTGCTTCCTGTTCCAGAAGAATCCCCTCGGGGAGCCCCCAGATGGCACACAAGCCCTATGGGGAACATTACCACTAGCATGGAACAAATTATAATTGATCCGCCAGTCAAGCCTAGCTATCACCAGAAAACAAGAATTTTTCTGAACATACCCATAACCTCTATGGAGAGAGAGGACATAGATACTGAAACACAAAAGCTATAAAGAATGTCACTCCAATCCTGACTTTCCCTAGCCAACCCACCCACTGAGCCACAGGATTGCCACTTGGGGGCAGTCACGTACCTCTTGTGGGTTTCCCAAGGCCTCTCCAAGCATCTTCTCAATGTTTCTCATTATGGCCACTTTCTGATGAGCTTTGAGAGGATATTCAATTCTCTTAGGGGTAGGAGCCCCCTACAAAGGAAGCAGAAGCTCAGGAAATGCCTTCAGCAGCAGGTACCAGTGTCACTCTGCTCTTCTCAGTACCATCCTCCCTCCTAAGGAACCCAATTCTTGCTGGATGCAATGGCTCACACCTGTAATCCCAGCACTTTGGGAGGCCAAGGTGGGTGGATCACTTGAGGTCAGGAGTTCCAGAAGAGCCTGGCCAACATGGTGAAACCCCATTTCTTCTAAAAATACAAAAATGAGCCAGGCATGGTGGAGTATGCCTGTGATCCCAGCTACTCAGGAGGCTGAGGCAGGAGAATCACTTGAACCCAGGAGATGGAAGTTGCAGTAAGCCAAGATTGTGCCACTGCACTCCAACCTGGGAGACAGAGCAACACCCCGTCTCAAAAAATATGTTTAAAAAAAAAAAAAAAAAAGAAACCCAATTCAATCCTATCCCTCTTTATCTCCCCAGACACCTGGGAATCACTTCCAGGGATAGTCAGTCATCCCATCCAAAATCATTTATTATACCTACCTCACCCAAGACCCAGTTCTATCTGGAAAAAAACAAAGAAGCAAATCATATTCACCTTATACCAGAAGTTCACAGTGATGGTAATCCCCCCATTTAGTAATGACTCTATATGATGCCACCTGCAAGAAAACAAACAGGCTCCTGTTTACTACTGATACTTTTGGGGGGATGGGGCAGGGGGTGCTGAAAAACTAGGTAGAGGTCAGTTAAGGAAGATAGTGAAGATAATATCTTTACATCATCCTGTGAAAAAACACACACTAAGGTTAGAGGTAGTGGTGTTCAGTCTCTAAATACCAAAGAACCAAGAACAGTTTCTCTAGGCTCAAACCTCTGGAATCTCTTAGGACTTGAAGAATTGTCATCCTGTCCTAGAGACAGGGGCTATCATTCGTCCCCCACCCCCCACTGGTTCAGTACACTCACATCTGGATATGCCAACATTCCTATAGACCACATAAAACCAATCCTGCCATAACTCAGAAGGGACACAGACAAGGCTTTCCAGGGAATGGAAAAGAAAGCTCCCAAGAAGCCCCCAGCCCTCACCCCCTTCTCACCAGTACATTGGGATGTAAAGAACATCACCAGGGCCAACCACTGTTTCGTAACCAACGACATTTTGGAAATTAGGGAACCTCTCGTAGTCAGGATTGTCAAAGTCCACCTAAGAGGTTCAAGAGAAAGAAAAAAAATATCAATCACCAAATCTTTACCAGTAAAACTACTGTGTGCCAGTTTGGTAGTAAAAACCAACAAACAAAATGATGCCTTTAAAAAGTCTTTAGAATTTATATCCAGCAGAAGATATAATGCACATTAAACTCTGAGAGAGAACAATATAAGATAGTCCACGTTTGAATGTTAAATGATAAAGAATTCTAGGCCTTCAGTGCTCCTGAGGTCAGGGGACCTACTCCACAGCCTGAGGATATAAGGAATTATCCTCCACGCAAACCTTCAGAAACTTTCTCCCAAAAACATATTCTAACCAGCAGACTCCTACACCAAGTACTAGGCAGCTTTCTGAAGAAAGGAAAGGATAATTCTGGCTGGGCCACAGTCAAGCACATACCTCACTTAAACAAAGGAAATATATTAAACAATATAGCTCAGTTTTATTCACCCTTTCCATATCGAAAAGAAACAGTATTCATGACAAAAGCAAACAATGATTAAATCCAATGGGAACATTTTGTTCCATGAACTTATAAGCCAATCAAACAGAGTAACCAGAGTCATCAGCATCAACGACAGGGTCCGGCTCGAGAATTAACTCTGTGGGGTTAGTTATACTTAAAAACATTCGGTGGCCACTCCAGAGAGCCTGGATATGTGAGCTATACTGAAATTATCCTCTTGGTATGTTAAGGCAAGACCAGCCTATAATCCAAACCTGGCCTATCACTACGGGGAAGGGGAAAGACATTCCAGCCTAGGCATTCCTACAATCTAGAGTTCTATATCCTTTTCAGCCCACACAAGCTCACCTGGCTCTGTCTGTCACATGGGTGATGAACAGGGTATGGGTAGAGGCACTCAAACTGATCCGGAGGGAATAAGATGCATCGCTTGTGGCCTTTTATCTGAGCAAAAAAGTTCTGCTGCTCATCATAGTGAGCAGGCGTCACATTTCCTGTAAGAAGAAAGGCATTTTTATATACAGAACAGTGGTTCTACTGCACAAGCTGGAATATAGGACCCAGTGCTGGGCAAAAACCCAGCCTGCCTTCCCAGCTAAGAGTTCCAAATCAAAATTTAGGCAGAAATCAGGGAAATTCCAATTACAACTCTCAGAAAATGAGATGTTACCCTTGTATGGTAATAAATCTAGCAAACATCACTGGTTAAGGGTCCACTATCAGCTAGCTAAGTCAACTTTCCTAAATGAAGGCTGCTGCCCTTACTGGAAGCAAGAGCACATCAAAATGATACTCGAAAATCTGGTAGGGTAATCAACTGTGTATATGTGTACTCTTCTTGACTATGGCAGGAATTCAGGGGAAGCAAAAAAGAAATGACTGGTATCAACAACATATACACGAGGAGTTAACCAGCCATTCTAAGTTGTATGATTAGGTAGCTCTGTATTTACTTCGGGTAGCCCTGTGGAACTCAAAAATTCTCAACCTTTCCTCCCACTTCAGTACACCTAAGGGATGCAATCATTTTTTTATTTTTAAGAGACAGGATTTCACCATGTTGCCCAGGCTGGTCTCAAACTCCTGGGCTCAAGTGAACTGTCTGCCTCAGGCTCCCAAAGTGTTAGGATTACAGGCGTGAGCGACCACATCCAGCCAAGACAACACTTCTTAGAGCAACATGGGGCTCACTGGTGCAAGTGATTTTCGTTGGAGGGAAGAATATCAGATGACTGAAAAAAGTGTTATATAATTTAAATCTGGCAAATTATTTTACTATTATTAATTGTTTTTGAGACAGAGTTTCGCTCTTTGTTGCCCAAGCTAGAGTGCAGTGGTGCGATCTCGGCTCACTGCTACCTCCGTCTCCCAGGTTCAAGCAATTCTCCTGTGTCAGCCTCCCAAGTAGCTGGGACTACAGGCGCCCACCACCATGCCTGGCTAATTTTTGTATTTATTTAGTAGAGATGGGGTTTCACCAAGTTGGCCAGACTGGTCTCAAACTCCTGACCTCACGTGATCCACCTCACTCGGCCTCCCAAAGTGCTGGGATTACAGATGTGAGCCACAATGCCCTGTGGCACATTATTTTAAATGCTACCTTGAATTAGTTGTGCCCTAGTGTATGTTCCATCTACTCCTTTATAACAAGGACCATGTCTGTTGTTTGGCCTTTGCACAGTCCATGAGTTGAACACACGCTTTTACAGGGCATGGAATTTAGAAAATATTCCGCAGCTCTGTCTAGGTATGCCAAGACAGATGCCTTCTTAAGTGATGATAGACCACATACATCCTCAAAGGAGAACTGTTCCCTCATCTCTACCCGAGGGATCCACTTCCACGCACCCTATCACAGAAAATGCAGCAACAGAAAGACTTAAGAGTCAAGTAAATCAGAACTGGCACTTTCTTGGCAGGTTAACCAACACTTGGTTTCAAAGGGGCAGGTAAGACCAGCCACAGTGGTTCACATCTGTAATCCCAACACTTTAGGAGGTCAAGGTGAGAGAACCACTTGAACCCAGGAGTTCGAGACTAGTCTGGGCAAAACAGAGAGACCCCCATCTCTACAGAAAAATATTTTAAGAATTAGCCTGGAAAGTCCCAGCTACCTGGATGGAAGGCTGAAGTGAGAGGATCGTTTGAGACTGGGAGGTTAAGGCTGCAGTGAGCCCCGATCATGCCACTGCACTCCAGCCTGGATGACAGAGCAAGATACTGTCTCAATAAAAAAACAAAAACAATAAATAAAGAGGCAGGTAAGTGTTAATTCACAAGCCACATGGCTGGAAATCTTTATTAGTATCAGCAGCAAAAGATTCAGATCTGAAGAATGGACAATCAAACGAGAAGAAACCAAGGAGCTCAGTGGTGAATGACAATAAGTAACTTCTCTGCTTCCTTGTTCAATCCAGGTTATTCACCATTTACTAAGTACCTACCACAGGCCTGGCACTGAGCTACTGCCAGAAATAAAAATAAGAATGAAACAATGACCTTGCCTCATAAATAGCTCTCATTCTCCTGAGTGGAGTTTAAAGGCCTCTCCTTTCATTCCAAAGGAAAAAAAAGCAAAAACAAAAAAAATTCACGTATTTATTAGTGTATGCATGAATTTCTCTAGCAGAAAGCACAGTAACTAATAATATGCAATACCTCCAGGGAGGAAACTGAAAGGCTGAGAGACAGGGGTGGAGGAGGTATTAATATTTATCACTACATACCTATTTACACTGTTTGAATTTAAACTCCATGAATGTATTATCTATTTAAAAGATAAAGCTGAATTCATATTAAAAAATAAGTTTCTCCTCTTTTATTGGGATAAAAATTTTCTGAATACAAACAGATCTAGTAGAGAAAAGTGGTACAGTCATGTACCACATGATAACATTTTGGTCAACAGACTACATCTATAACAGGGCTCCCAAAAGATTATAATGGAGCAGCCCTGTACAGGTAGGTATACCACTTTTTATCTTTTTTTGGCAATAAAAAAATTCCCAAAGTGCCATTTTTTATCCTTATAATATTTTTTTGTCACCTTTTTCCTGCAGTATTTGATACCATATTTTTACTATATCTTTTCTCTATTTAGCTACATTGACATACACAAATACTTACCATTGTGTTATAACTACCAACAACATTCAGTACAGAAAGATGCTAACACCATTTAGCCTAGGTGTATAGCAGGCTACACAATCTAGGTTTGCGTAACTACACGATGTTGCACAACAACGAAGTCAACTAACAATACATTTCTCAGAATGTATCCCTGTCATTAAACGTCACATGACTATAATTCAGAGAGGTTCCTAATACCTCAGCACATGCACGTACATTACCAGCTGAGGAGGGGAAAAGGGAACGTTTTAGAATACACGAAATTAGCTTAAAGACTCGACATACATTGTTTCATTTAATCTTCACAACTATTTACAAGACATCATGTTTCATTACTTTCTCTCTCTTTTTTTTTTTTTTTTTTAACAGACAGGGCCTCACTCTGTCACCCAGGCTGCAGTGCAGTGGTGCAATCATAGTTCACTGCAGTCTCAAACTCCTGGCCTCAAGCAATGCTCCTGCCTTGGCCTCCCAAAGTGGTGGGATTACAGGCATGAGCTACCATGCCTGGCTCTGTTATGTTTCTTTTACAGATGAGTAGGCTGAGGTTTAAGAAAGTGAAGTAACTTGTTCAAAGTCATGGAGCTAATAAGCGGTGGAGACAGGATTAGACATGAGGTTCAGGGCCGGGTATGGATGCTCACGCCTGTAAACCCAGCACTTTGGGAGGCTGAGGCGAGCCGATCACAAGGTCAAGAGTTTGAAATCCAGATGACCAACATGGTGAAACCCCCATTACTACTAAAAAATTCAAAAATGAGCTGGCCATGGTGACATGCACCTGTAATCCCAGCTACTTAGGGGGCTGAGGCAGGAGAATCGCTTGAACCCAGGAGGCGGAGGTTGCAGTGAGCCAAGATCACACCATTGCACTCCAGCCAGGGTGACAGAGTGAGACACTCTCCGGGGAAAAAAAAGAAATCAGGTTCATATGACTCCAAGCCATGCTGCTGTTGAAAGATTTCTTACCTTCCATGCCGATGAGCAGCAGGTTAGAGGTCAGCTGCCCCCAGCCACGCTTTCCCTGTTGCTTATTAATCCAGTTCCAGTTAAAACCCAAGAAGTCCATGACAATCTTCCTGCCCACAGTGTCATTGAGTGTTTGCTGCAGATACAACCTATGTTTCCCAAGAAGAAAATCCTATTAGTGCATGTACACACAGCCCTTGGCATGGCCTCCCCACATCTGAAAATACAAACCCAAATCCATACCAGCATCTCCCAAAGAGAACAGATATAGTCATGCGAACCTCACCCAACATAGATTCTCATGGAACTGAATTCTTACTTTCCTTCACTGAATTGTGTTCAACAGCAAACTTTTTAATTTTTCGTTTCTTTCTGTTAAGAAACAGGTTCTCACTATGTTGCCCAGGTTGGTCTCAAACTCTTGGGCTCAAGCAATCCTCCTGCTTCTGCCTCCCAAAGTGCTGAGATTACAGGTGTGAGACACTGCATCTGGCCCCCAAACGTTTTCGTTAAGGAAGTGATGCTTAACCTTTTTTGGGTCACAGAATGACTCTTTTAAGAATACAAGGAATAGGAGGGTGGTATGAAAACTAAAACTAAAAAAGAAAAAAAAAATCTCGAGAAGTCCCAGCTACTCAGGAGGCTGAGATAGGAGAATCACTTGAATCTGGGAGGCAGAGGTTGCAGTGAGCCGGGATCGCCCCACTGCACTCCAGTCTGGGTGACTAGAGCAAGACTCCATGTCAAAAAATGAATATACAAATAAATAAAAAGAATCCACAGAGATTTCCCATAAAAATGCACATACATAGAGAACTTTCACACAATTTCAGATTCCTAGAAGCCTATCCATAGAACCTAGAATGATGAATCAGTCTTCAGTCTTACTCCAGAGACTTGCAGAGCGTCAGACATCTCCTCTGGCCCTTGATGACCACTGTGGTAAACTGTATTGCTGTTCACCAAGAGGTGGTTCCTTCAGTGTGGGAGTTTTTTTTCACATCCCTTGAAGACAGGCTTGCTTATTTAACCTGCTCTGGCCAAGGAAATGTCCACGGATGTGTTGTTTCCAACTGTAACTTAAGAACCAACCGGTCTACACTACCACATCTCTTTCCCTCTGCCACAGCAACCCAAAAGTTCCAGATAGTAGCTGCTAGGGCAATGTGAGTGCCAGAGCGAATAAGATGATACAAAGAATATGACATTAACCATGATGAACATGTAGTGATAAATAAGCCTCTGTTGTTTCTAGCCCCTGAGCTCTGGTTTGAAGCCTAGTTTATCTTAACTAATTCCACCACCTATCCTGTTGCAGCCTTCTATAGCTGAAGTAAGGAAGACAGCTTATTAGGTAAAGGCCTCAGGCTCCTAACATACCTGAGGAAGGTTGTAAGTCACTTAAGGGATATGAAAACCCAGAAACACTTGAACAAGCCCGCAAGTGACATTTATTAAGTGTGCAAACCTGAAAAAAAGACAAAAGCATCTCTGTCCTGGTCCTGAGATCATTACTTCAAAAGGCTCAAAGGGGTCGGGTACCGTGTCTCACACCTGTAATCCAGCACCTGGGGAGGCCAGGGGAGATACATAACCCGAGCTCAGGAGTTCAAGACCAGCCTGGGCAACATGGCAAAACCTGGTCTCTACCAAAAATACAAAAAAATTAGCCAGGCATGGTGGTTGTAGTGCACATCTGTAGTCCCTGCTACTTGGGAGGCTGAGGTGGGAGGATCAGTTGAGCCTGGGAGGTAAAAGTTGCAGTGAGCTGAGATCACGCCACTGCACTCCAGCCTGGGTGACAGAGCAAGACCATCACAGACAAAAAAAAGTGAAAAGGCATCTCACTGCCTAGAATTGCAATGTTTAAGGCAATTTTAATCAGAAATCTTTTTTTTTTTTTTTTTTTGAGACAGAGTTTCACTTTATCACCCAGGCTGGAGTACAGTGGCATAATCTTGGCTCACTGAAACCTCTGCTTCTTGGGTTCAAGTGATTCTCCTGCCTCAGCCTCCCAAGTAGCTGAGACTACAGGTGTGCACCACCATGCTCAGCTAATTTTTATATTTTTAGTAGAGACAGGGTTTCCCCATGTTGGGCAGGCTAGTCTCGAACTCCTGACCTCAGGTAATCTGACCGCTTCAGCCTCCCAAAGTGCTGAGTTTACAGGTGTGAGCTGCCACGCCCAGCCTTAATAGGAAATCTTGATACGTCAGAAACACTACCTTTGTAGGAACGTGGAATCCTCAAGACTCAGTGCAACTCTCCCCAAAGATAATAATATTCACACAAAAATTATGCAAGTAACTTTGAAAGAGTCAGTGATACTCCCCAAATATGAGTCTAAACAATATTAGGATTACACCAAAACGGTAAATGCTCAAAATAGCTCAGAGGATCCTAATACATTTTACCCCATAATCACAACAACCTGTCTAATCATACAGCGAAGCTGGTCAGTGCTAAAGTCAGCTGATAGGGCGAAACTTGCAATCGATTTAAGAGTTTTCCTTGAAAACTCTTTAATCACCCCTAAAGTACAAATTACACTCATTCTTAAGCAAAGTGCTCTCACTACAGGAGGCAAGAAACTTCAAGTGACTGAAGAACCACAAGAGTCACATATCTTACGCTCTTTCTAGGGTATATGTTCATTTAAAGGAATTACACACTCCACTGCATCATTTAAATCAATCTTTTTCTCAATGTTGGGTGTGTGTGTATGGAAGTGTACACCCGCGCAGTTAAATTTGAGGAAATTAATGCATGAGTTAACTGAACTGAACCAATATATAAGACATCATGGACAGATCAATCACAGTTCATATCCTGTAAACTCTTCTGGTCAAAAATCCCATCATTATGACAACTGCTAAGTGTTAAGAAGAAAAAAGATATTTCAAATCCATTCACTAAGCCACAGACTGCTGATAGGGAGTCACGAGCAGGAGTGAGTGAGGCAAGAGACTAGAGAGAAACCCAGGGTTAGACACCAAATGTGAGAGGGTCATTGACTGTGAAGTACTCAGTGAAAGCAATTCCCCAGAGGCAGTGTTATAGTGTGGGACCGAATATTATCTGGGACCTACATAAGAGCTGTCCTCATAAGTAGGAATAAGAGCAGAGAGGAAGAATCACTTTCTTGTGTGTGTGGTGTTTCTGTTGCATTAGGAAAAACAAATTTAATCTGATCTTCCCTAAGCTAGAGAATCCTGACCTTCTTTACTCCAAAATCACAACAAACCATACAACTTTTCAGGCTGAACTATCCCCAGTGATCACAATACTACAATGGCTACAAACTGGCACTTTCAGAGCTAAATCCAGTGACAGACATTTTTGTTTGGCCCCCTGCAACTTTTTTTAATTTTTTTTTATTTATTTTTTTAAGATGGGGTTTCACCATGTTGGTCAAGCTGGTCTTGAACTCCCGACCTCAGGTGATTCGCCTGCCTTGGCCTCCAAAGTACGTGGATTACAGGTGTGAGCCACCACGCCCAGCCAACTTTTTTTTAAATCGAATTTAATTGCTCACATTTAAAAGTCAAAAGATTTTAAATAAAAATCCTGATTTTAAACTTCTCTTGAAAATCAGTATATCTCACAACCCTAAGATTGCACTCCAAAACTGAAGCAAGCACAGTCAAGTAATGACTTCTCACTATGGTTTTGTTCTCGTTTTTAATTTTGTAGAGACTAGCTCTCACCACACTTCCCAGGCTGGTCTTCAACTCCTGGGCTCAAGAAATCCTCCTGCTTTGGCCTCCCAAAGTGCTAGGATTACAGGCATGAGCCACCCTGCCCAGCCTTGACTTCTCACTTTGAATACGGCTTATGCCTTCAGCTTCATCACAGATTTCACTCAGACAATATTACTCCTTTCACTCACCTGTCTGACCCAAGCAACTAACTCTCACTTTATGAGGAAGAAGATGAGAAATCAGAGACTCATAGCTCAAGTTTAATCATTCCCTCATCCCTCCAGCTACAGAACTAGCTGGCTGTAGCACCAAGAACCACGAAGAACTCAAATCCCTTAAAGGCTTGAAGACCAGACTTCTCCTTCAATAGGAATCCAGAGATGGGAGAGGCCAATCTCTACTTAACCCAATTCTGCCACACCTTCAAACAAGTATAGGAAAAGAAAATGAGTGCCCTAAATCCAACAGAAAACTATGATTTGGGAGTTTACCTCTCTTCCCCTCCTCGCTGCTGTATATCCTGCAGTTTCTCAACAAACTCATGAAATTTCATTTCTTCCCTGTTGGACCTCGGCTTAAAGTTCTGGAAATTAGCCATCTTCTTCTCATCATAGTACAAGAACTTGTGGGTGCTGGCACTGTACACAGAGAAGTCTCCATTGCCAATATTCTCTTGCAGGTATTCAAGATCCCATTTCAAGGCAGGATACACAAGATTGGTGTCGGTCAGCACCACAGGCTCCTAAATGAAAACACCAGGTGAAAAACACCAAATGAAGTAATGCCAAGGAGCCGGTGGGTTCGCCTCCTAGACCCCGTCTACTTCTCAACTTCAGGGTAATTTCTCCCGTTAATCAGCACGAACCCCTCAAGTTCCATATCTCCTCGCCTTTCCACCTTCCCACAGGCCCTAGTCTTAGAGCCCCGCCAGTCTCCCATCTCTTTCACCATTCGCCTCTGACCTCTCAACTGGATACCTTCCTCGACTCCCTTTAGACACGGCCCCGCCCCCCACCTCATTCTCAATGAGCTCCTCCGCCCGGGGGTCGCTCTGACTCAGACGTGGTATGGGCCTAGTCGGGAAGCTATAACTGCGCAACTGGGATTCATCCCAGTCGGGGCCGAGGGCTCCGGCCTCCTCCCGGGGCTCTCCAGAGCCAGACGCCGCGGCCTCTGCCGCTGTCGCCGCCATCTCCGCCGCCAGGGACGGCCCCCGCCGGAACCGGAAGCTCCGCCTATTCCGGACAAAACACACACCACACACACACACACACACACACACACACCCCGCGCGCGCGCGCGCGCACACACACACACACACACACACACACACACACACACCGGAAATCATAGAGATGAGCTGCGAGAGAGAGCGGTCCAGAAACAAAAAGAACGCGGAGCCGACGTTTTGAGGGAGCGCTTCCTAATGGTAACATGCAGCTCTGCATTCTAGGCTCCACTCCTGAAGAAGTGGGGCTAGACACTCGTCCCACAGAACAGGGATGATCATCTGGTAAGGCAAAACACAAAAAAATGCTGCCCCAGTGTGCCACGTCTACACACGAGTCAAAAAAGGAAGCAAGTTCAGTTAGGCATTAAACTTTACACTCATGAATAGGGAGAAAAGGAAACTCTTGACCCACCTAAAGAAGTCAGAAGGATGCGTTCGGATCAAAGAAAAAAAAAGTCAGAAGGAAAAGCAATGATCATATTGGTATGTAGGGCAAAGGCTGCCTGAAGGCCTAGGCAAAAGATACACAGCAAGTTGAATTCTTCCAAAATCAAGGACAGTTTTCTTTTGTTTAACATCATTTGATTTTTCTGCCTGTATCACCAATATAGATTCAAACAATTATAAAAGGCCATATTGATTACGTCTATTGGTAACATTGGTTTCATGGCAAGCATATATTCAAGTAGGAGAAATGATTATACAGGCAGAAAAATCAAATTGATTTTATAATCAATATAGATTGATTATAGATTGAGGCCCTATTAATTACCTCTATTGCTTACTTGGACAGTTCTTCTGACTGGCTGTGAGAGGCCCAATTCTAAGATGTATCCCAAGATTTGTACCCTATAGTGTACACAATTCTGTATACATTTATCCCCTTAAAAGAAAACACGACTGTGAATATGATAGTGTCACTCCTGTAATTAGTTTAGCTTATATGACAAAAATGTAATTAAAGCCCCTAGCCAATTAACTTTAAGGTAATCAAAAAGGAGATGATTTATCCTGGTGGGCTTAATCTTATCACTCCAGCCCTTTAAATCGGGGCTAGAGGTCAGAGACAGAATCTAAGAGATTTGAAACCACAGCACAGCTGTCCTGCTTGCCTTGAAGGAGCAAACTGCCATATGACAGGAAATGGCAGGTGGACTCTAGAAGCTGAGAAAGGCTCATGGGTGACAGCCAACAAGAAAGTGGGCACCTTAATCCTACAAATGCAAGTAACTGAATTATGGCAACAACCACTGAACTTGGGAAAGGACACACACAGATCCTCAGATGAGATCACCAACCCAGCCAACACTCTGATGTCAGCCTGAAAAGACCCTGAGCTGAGGACTCAGCCAACCAGTATCTGGACTCATGGAATATGTGAGAAAGTAAATTGGTATTTTGGACCGCTACATTTACACTAATTTGTTGTGCCGCAACAGAAGCGAATGCACTGGCTTAACTATGTAATTATGCTACATAGTAACCATGCTACATCAAACCAATAATAGGGCTACCTTTGTGGAAGGGTTTGAGGCTCTAGGTGACAATCAAGGCTTTCATTTTATCTGCAGTGTTTGAATTTTTTTTTTTTTGATAGGGTCTTATTCTTTCACCCAGGCTGGAGTGCAGTTGTGCAATCTCAGTTCACTGCAAGCTCCACCTTCCCAGCTCAAGCAATCCGCCTACCACAGCCTCCCAAGTAGCTGGGACTACAGGCACATGCCACCTGGCTAATTTTTTTTTTTTTTTTTCTGTAGAGACAGGGTTTCGCCATGTTGCCCAGGCTGAATGTTTGAATTCTTACAAGAATGTATTGATTCATAACCTTGGGAATTAAAAATAAATTAGGCCAGGCATTGTGGCTCATGCCTGTAATCCCAGGACTTTTCAAGGCTGAGGCAGGAGGATCACTTGAGCCTGGGTGTTCCAGACCAGCCTGGGCAACGTAGCAGGACCTCGTCTCTACAAAATTTTTAAAAATTAACCTGGTGTGGTGGTGCATGCCTGTAGTCCCAGATACTAGGGAGGCTGAGGTGGCAGAGGTGCGATGATTGTTTGAGCCTGGGAGGTGGAGGCTGCAGTGAGCCATGATCATGCCACTACACTCCAGCCTGGATGACAGAGCAAGACCCTGTCTTACTAAAAATAAAGAAATAAATTAAGATCAACAAGATTCAAAGAACTAAAATCAAGAATGAAACAGGGATATTACCCCAAACAAAAGGCGTATAAGGACATATTATGAACAATTGTATGTCAAAAGATTAGAGAACCTAGATGAAATGGCCAATTCCTAGAAAGACATGAGTTATAATAACTGATTCAAGAAGAAATAGAAAATCTGAATAGACCTGTAACAAGAGATTGAATTAGGAATCAAAAACATCCCATAAAGAAAAGACCAGAAATTAGGCACAGTGGCTTACACCTGTAATCCCAACACTTTGGGAGGCAGAGGCAAGCAAATCACTTGAGCCCAGAAGGTTGTGACCACACTGGGCAACATGGTGAAACTCAGTCTCTACCAAATCCCACCAGCCAAAACAAAAACTAGCAAATATGATGGCATGCCCGTAGTCCCAGCTATTTGAGAAGCTGAAGTGGGAGGGTCACTTGAGCCCGGGAGGTAGAGGTTGCAATCCACTGAGATCACACCACTGCACTCTAGCCATTTGAGACAGAGTTAGGCCTTGTCTCAAAAGAAAAGAAAAGGCCGGGCACAGTGGCTTACCCCTGTAATTTCAGCACTTTGGGAGGCCAAGGTGGGCAAATCACTTGAGGTCAGAAGTTCGAGACCAGCCTGGCCAACATGGTGAAACTCCCATTGCTACCAAAAATACAAAAATTAGCCAGGCATGGTGGTGCAAGTCTGTAGTCTCAGCTACTCTGGAGGCTGAGGCAGGAGACTTGCTTGAACCCAGGAGGTGGAAGCCACAGTGAGCTGAGATCATGCCACTGCACTGCAGCCTGGGCAACAGAGCAAGACTTCATCTCAAAAGAAAAAGAAAAGCTCAAGACCAGATGGATTCACTTATGTTCACCAAATATTTTTTAAAAATTAACACTGGGCTGGGCATGCTGCTCACACCTGTAATCCTAGCACTTTGGGAGGCTGAGGTAGGTGGATTACTTGAGGTCAGGAGTTCGACCAAAATGGTGAAACCCCATCTCTACTAAAAATACAAAATTAGCTGGGTGTGGTGGCGCATGTCCCAGCTACTTGGGAGGCTGGGGCAGGAGAATCACTCGAACCTGGGAGGCAGAGGTTGCAATGACGTGAGATCGCACTGTTGCACTCTAGCCCTGGCAACAACAGCAAAAGACCATCTCAAAAAAATAAATAAATAAATAACACCAATCCTTCATAAACTCTTCCAAAAAACAGAACATATCTGAATTCATTCTATGAGGCCAGCATTACTGTGATATCAAAACAAGACAAAGACATCACAAGAAAACTATAAACCAGTATTTCTTATGAATATAGATGCAAAAATCCTAACAGAACACTAGCAAACTGAGTCTAACGTCATATACAAATAATTAAATACCATGACCAAGTGGGATTTATTCCAGGAATGCAAGGTCAGTTCAACATCTGAAAATGATCAATATAACATACCATGTAGTGATCAATATTTTATTAATCATTTATAATCAACAATGCAATATATAAGTAAAAGAGAAAAAAACCCTACATGATCATCTCAACAGACACAGAAAAAGCTTTTGACAAACTCCAACACCCTTTCATGATAAACACAGGGTTCTAAATGACACTGTAAGAAAGAAAAACCTACAGAGTCAGAGAAAATATTTACAAATTGTGTATCTGATCAGGAAATTGTATCTAGAATACATAAAGAACTCTTACAACTCAACAATAAAAAGACAAACCAATTTAAAAATGAACAAACAGTTTGAACAGACATTCCTCCAAAGAAGATATACCATGGCCAATAAGCACATGGAAAGATGCTCAACATTATTAGTGATCAGGGTACTGCAAATGAAAACTGCAATGAAATACCATTCATTGGCACTCACATGGCAATAATAAAAAAAGACAATAACAGGTGTTGATAAAGATGTGGAGAAACTGGAACCCTCACACACTGCTAGTGGGATGGAACATGTCACAGCTGCTTTGAAAAACAATTTGACAATTCTTCAGAAAGTTAAACCGTAGAGTTACCCTATGACCCAGCAATTCTACTCCTAGGCATATAACCAAAAGGATAGAAAACGTATATCCAGACAAAAATGTATACAAAAATGTTCATAGCAGCATTATTCGCAACATCCAAAAAGCAAAACCAACTCAAATGTCCATTAACTGATAAGTGTATAAATAAAATGCTGTACTGTACATTCATATAATAAAATATTATACAACCAAAAAAGGAATGACGTACTGATATGTGCTACAACACAAACTTCGAAAACATTATCCTAAGTGAAAGAAAATGGACACAAAAGGCCACATATTACATGATCCATTTATATAAACTACCCTGAATAGGCAAATCCATTGAAACAAAGTAAATTAGTGGTTATATCCATCTTTATTGCTCTGATATATACTTGAGAAATGTTTATAATAGGTTCTGCTCCCAAACTGTGGTCACCTGAAAAGTCACTGGAAATACATACATATTTATAATGTTGAAGTTATTCAATACCAAGTAAAAACATTCATAGGCAAACATAATAATATATCCAATTCTTCTGGTGAGTTAGAGTTTGTTCATTAGGAGCCGGTTTGAAATTTGTTTTATTCAAGTCCTACCAACTCTGGGACTTTAAGCTGTCTCTGGGGAGCTGCCTCTTGTGATAGGTTTAATTTTACATTTGTTGGGTTGAGGTGACTGAGACATGCAGATGGAAACCCGGACTGAAACTAAGGAGCCGCCAATTCAGGGCCGGTGAGTTGCACTAGCGTCTAAGTGAACATCAACCGATTTGGAGAACAGAACAAGCAAGACCAACGGAATATGAGGAATGATTACGTTTGGGGATGGAAGGAAGTGCCCGTGAAGGAGAGGAAAGCAAGTAGCCAGAGAAGAGAGTAAGACAGGCTCATTTCACTACTGCAGCTCCTAGGCGAGGTG